GATCAGCTGGAATGCATGCACCCAGCCAGACCTAACCCACTCCGCACCACCTGCCCATGGCATGTCCTGCTGCCCCCTGGGTATGCAGCGGGGCTGGAGTGGCTCCGCAGCTGGACTGTCTTTCTAGGCAGCCCAGGCAGGGGCGACTCCTTCCGGCTGCCGTTGACATGTCCCCAGCCCCGTGGTACCAATGGGGACCTGTGCTGCACAGCCCCAATACTGCACACCCAGCGCCTGCTCCAGGTTCATCCGCCCAGGCTCAGCAGTGGCAGCACAAGACAGAAGCTGTTGCTCATCATGGGAGGAAAATCAGCCCTTCCCCCTCACCACTGCCGGTGCTTCCTGGTGTAGTTTCCTAGAGCCCGCACAGCGCCAGGCTGCCCTGTGTCTGCTCTGTGGAGCCACTGCTGCCCCACAGGGCAGCCCAGAGGCTGTGGTGACACTGCATAGATGCAGGGCAGCTTGGCACAGGCTTTGAGCAGCTACACCAGGAAGCAACGGCGAGGGGGAGGGGCTGCTTTTCCCCTCTGCTGAGCAGCAGCTTCTGTCTTGCTCTGCTGCTGCTGCTGAGCCTGGGCAGGTGAGCCCAGAGCAGGTGCAGGGTGCACAGGGTTGGAGAGGAGCGCGAGGGTCCCCATCAGTACTGTGGGGCTGGGGCCGGCAGTGGCAGCCGCCAGAACAGACTGCTACCACCTGGGCTGTCTAGAAAGTCAGTACAGCTGTGGAGCTGCCCCAGCTCCACTTCATACCCAAGGGGTGGCTGGACGTGCCATGGCCATACAGTGCCTGGGTCAGGCAGGACCAAGGGACTCACTGCAGGCCAGAAAAAGTCTCGCCAAGGGCTGGATCTGGCCTGCAGGCTATATTTTGCCCACCTCTGTTATAAACTAACTACTAAATCATTCACATATATAGGATATGCTTTCGTGAGCCCAAGCTCACTTCATCAGATTCTGTGAAAGGATATGAACAGAGCAGTGTATAACATGGAGAGAGTGATTTGAATACAAAACGCTGGGAGGGAGGGATGGGAGAGGGAGTGTAGCAAGATTTGGTAGGGGCAAACAAGCAAGCAATAAACCCATAGGAACAAAAGCGTCACAAAACCCAATCCAGGTAATTGGATATGAACCCACAGTCCCCAGTTAAACAATACTTGGCACAATCCAGTCTATGGATAATTCCCTGTTCCACAAGTTCTCATTCAAGTTGGGTTTCAAAGTTTGGCTGCCTAAGAACAGCTACCCTGAGGTCAGCAATAAAATGTCCAGGGAAATTAAAGTGTTCTGCTATAGGCTTTTGTGTCTTTCTGGAGCTGGTGTCAGATCAGTGTTCATTCATTCGTATGCTAGGGATCACCCTCTCTGTTCAGTATGGGCAACAGAGGGCTGTTGTAAGCAGGTGATGGTTTATGTGAAGTATATGATCATCACATGTATGGCAGAAGACCAGCTTGGCTTAGCAAGGAACTCTCCAGTGCACTAAAACACAAAAAGGAGGTTTACAAGAAGTGCAAAGTTGGACAAACAAACAGGGAGAAGTATGAGTATTGCTTGGGGATCTAGGGATGAAATCAGGAAGGCCAAAGCAACTGGAGTTGCAGCTAGCAAGGAACATGAAGGGTAACAAAAAGAGTTTCTACAAGTATGTTAGCAACAAGAGGAATGTCAAGGAATGTGTGAGTCCCTTACTGAATGTGGAAGACAACCTAGTGGCAGATGATGAGGAAAAGGCTGAAGTACCCAATGCCTTTTTTAACTTAATCTTCACAGTCAAGGACAGCTCACAGACTATTGCACCTAGCAGCGCAGTTTGGGGAGGAGGTGAGCAGCTGATAGTGGTGAAAGAACAGGTTAGGGACTGTTTAGAAAGGTTGGATATGTACAAGTCCATGGGGCCAGATGCAGTGCACCTGAGGGTGCTGAGGGAGTTGGCTGATGTGATTGCAGAGCTGCTGGCCATTTGAAAACTTGTGGTAACTGGAAGAGGTCCTGGATGATTGAGAGCTGCTGGAAGAAGGAGAATCCAGGGAACTACAGACCGGACAGCCTCGCCTCAGTCCCTGGAAAAATCATGGAGCAGGTCCTCAAGGAATCCATTTCTAAGCACTTAGAGGAGAAGAAGGTGATTAGGAAAAGTCCATGTGTATTCACCAAGGGCAAGTCATGCCTGACCAAACTGATTGCCTTCGTCAATGAGATGACTGGCCCTGTGGATGCAGGGAGAGCAGCGGATGTCATATACGTTGACTTTAGTAAGGCTTTTGATGTGGTCTGACTCAACATTCTCGCAAGCAAGCTAAGGAAGTACAAACTGAATGAAAGGACTGTAAGGTGGATAGAAAACTGGTTGGCTTATCAAGCTCAAAGTGTAGTAATCAATGGTATGATGTCTAGCTGTCAGCTGGTGTCAGGTTGAGTGTCCCAGGGGCTGGTCCTTGGGTTGGTTTTGTTCAATATCTTCATCAACGGTCTGGAAGATAGGATGGAGTGCCACCCCCCAAGTTTGTAGATGAAACCAAGCTGGGGGGAGTAGTAGATACACTGAAGGGTAGGGCTAGGATTCAGAGAGACCTAGACACACCGGAGGATTGAACCAAAATAAATCTCATGATGTTCAATAAGGAGAAGTGTGAAGTCCTGCGCTTAGGATGGAACAATCCCATGCACAAATACAGGCTGGGGACTGACTGGCCAAGTAGCAGCTCTGTAGAAAAGGACCTGGGGGTTACAGTGGACAATAAACTGAATATGTGCCAACAGTGTGCCCTTGTTGTCAAGAAGGCTAACTGCATCCTGGTCCACATTAGCAGAAGTGTTGCTAGTGGATTAAGGAAAGTGATTCTTCCCCTCTGTTTGGTACTGGTGAGTCCTGTGGTCCTGTGTCCAGTTTTGGGCCCTCCACTACAGAAAGGACAAATTGGAGAGAGTCCAGCAGAGGACACATGACACATGGGCTGGGACACATGACTTATAAGGAGAGGCTGAGGGAAGTGGGCTTATTTAGTCTGGAGAAGATAAGACTGAGGAGGGATTTAACTGAAGGATGGTTCCAAAGAGGATAAACCTAGACTGTTATCAGTGGTTGCAGATGACAGAACAAGGAGCAATGGTCTCAAGTTGCAGAAAGGGAAGTTGAGATTAGATATTAGGAGATACTTTCTCACCAGGAGGGTACTAAAGCTGGAACAGGCTACCCAGATAGGTTGTGGAAACTCCATCCTTAGAGGTTTTTAAGACCCAGGTAGACAAAGCCTTGACCAGGATGATTGATATAAATGGTCCTGCTTTGAGCAGGAGGTTGGACTAGCTTACATCCTGAGGTCCCTTCCAAACCAGATTTTCTATGATTTTATGGCTGAACCAAACAATACAGATTAGTAACATCCAAGGTTCATCTACCTGCAACTCTGTTAAAGTCATAATATATGTCATCATATATGATATAGGGTACAAACCTGGATAAGCCAAGAGACAGGAATTCAGCAGGGACTGGAGAGAGGAGCTGTACCTTATAGGGTACAAGGAAAAATTCTGAAGAATCTGTTTTATTTTCTGTAATTAATTTGTTCAAAACATTGAAAAAACAAACAAATAAAAAACTAAAACAAAATAAAACCTAACAGAATTAGGAAAGAAAGCTGATCAACTCTGCCGGCCTTCCATCTGCCTTCTGCAGCTGCAAATGTTATGGGATGTGTCCCTGTAGCAGTAATCATATAGTCTGTTTGCTTCTTATAATAGATGTGTCATCCTAACACTTGTAGTTTAAATTGAAGCATCAGTGGATTTAGTGGCTTACAAGTACTGGGAACAAAACCATCACTTTTTCTGTCTACAGGAC